AAAGGAGGCAATGGGAGGAGTCGCCGATGATGATGGAGCGGGTGCTTCAAGTTGACGTCCAGAATCAATGCGATGCGCCGGTGGTAAATCAGTGTGGTCGCCATTCATGGTGTCTTGAAGGGAGAGAATCTCTGGCATTGAGCAGGTGTACATTGGAGCTTCTTGGCAATAAAGGTCCAGCTGGGGCGTAGTTTGGCATTGGTCTTCATGTCGACAAGTTGTTCTTCCTGCCATGGTTCCCAAGAGTCCCAGTTTTCATGAAGTTCTTGGCGTCTGGTGGATGCCGAGGGCGGTGTTGAGGGGCGGGGCTTGGCTTTGGCTTTGGCGGAACGAGGAACACGTGGTCGTTTGGTCGGAGGGGGTATTGCTGGCGCCGAAGAACAATCGCTGTCGTCCAAGGAGGAGGGAATGCGGGGAACGTGGGAAGGATCTGGGAATGATGGTTCATCTTCACTGGTGGAAGCACCAAGTTGTGATGGTGCAGCAATCGGTCGAAGGTTCCCACGAAAATGGTGGGATGCCAGGGGATGTGGATGGGTGTGATTGAGGGTTTGCATAGGAGGCGGGAAGCCCAGTGGTTGCTGCAAGACCGGTGGGTAGCCCATTGTGGGAGCAGGCGGGGGTTGTCCACGAAGAATGTCATGAATCTCATCCAGTGAATCTGAAGAGGCGGCCAGTCGTAGGGTGGAGGCGACATTGGAAACACACTGAGCAATGCGGTCACATTGTGGAGTGGGGCCCGGTAGCGTAGGGCGAGTGACCATGGCGAGCAACGCGAAAGTCGTTCCACGGGTAAGGAAACTGAAAACTGAAAACTGCAGTAGGATGTAGTCTTCGTAGTCAAGGTGAAACTCGTCATAGTCCAAGTGAAAATCTTTCTTCTGAGGTGCATCGGTATGGGAAAGGGAGGATTAAGAGGGGTGGCAAAAGAATATTAAGGGGATGAAAGCAACCGAGAAGCAGGCAGAGCCCAATGGATTTCGAGTCCATCTCCTTAGCCGCTCGGACACAGTGTTTTAGCGTCATGATCTTATCAAAAGAAAAAAGGTGCTTCCGCTTGGGGACTTGGCGCTCCAGTCGGACTAAAATTCTATACCTGCGGGCGCAATGCATCTCATCTCGGGCTATCTGGGGGCCCCTGCTTGGTCACTCACTTAATAAGTAACACACCTTGCTCAGTGAAGTTGACCCTCATTGTCGCCGGCTTATTATTCTTTCAGGGCACTTGATGTAAGACAGCAAAGTCAGGCTTAGTATAGACCATCACGCTGAGTGAGCTTGGTAGGGGCAGCCAATGGTCTGGGTTTTTCAAGATGCGCTTGATGTGCTTGATGCAGAATCACCTGCGGATCAGGTCTCGAAAACTTGCCGCCAGGTCTCGAAAACCTGAGTTTTCGAGACCTACTTTGACGTGCTCACTCCCACAGCCCACTACCCCACACAAGATGAGGCCCTGCAGGCCTTCGGATTCACCTCCCTGAGTAAATCTCTTGCCGGTTCCCCACGCCATGCAATGAAGAATGATGCCTGCTCGATTTTTTTGCCATCTGACTCGGGCTGCGTGCCAGGCGTCGTAGATCATCTTCCCAGTGGTTTCGTAGCCTTGGGCAAAGAAACCTTGTGCATTGGGGGAGTGCTGTGTACTGGAGGAGATTGAGTAGGTTGCCCTCTTCCGTAGCGTGGCATGCAAACACATGTACAGTGTGGCATGTTGGGTGGCAGTCTGGTTGCGACGGTGAGGAATATGATCGAGTCGATTTTTGTTCTGGAGGCGAGGGATGTAGAGAGAGAGAAGTACTTCGTGGAGGTGTAGCCGTTGATGTCATTGTCCCACTCGGAATGGGTCCACTGCTCGAGATCCTGAAGGTCTTTGGCAAGGATACCGGCGTTGGTGAGGACCTTGGCGACATAGTTGAGCATAGGTGTATTGCGGTCTGAGAGCTGATCACATTGGTGGTGGAGGTGGTGTAGAATACGGTTAATGTGTCTGCGCCGTGGGTGTGACTGGCATGGTCGTGCTCGGCTTTGGTGTAGGGATTGAAGGGCCGTTGATGTGGCTGTGCGGCTTCAATGCGTGTGCTGGTGGCAACGTGAATGCCCTTGGGGCGTGAGGTGGTGGTGGAATCCGGGGCAGGGCCGGAATAGTTGGCATCCGAACGCTGGGGATTGGGGGTGAGTCGAATGTTGGAGCGGCGAGGGGAGCGAGACCGAGCTCTGGTTTGTAACTGGTATTGCAACTGGTGGTGGAGCCCAAATACCACGCTTGGGCGGTGGACCTGCGGGCGGTTTGGGTTGGGCGGGGGGACGTTGTTTCGGACCAGGAGCGACTGAACTCGTGGCTTTTTGTAGAAGTGGTGTTGGTGTTGAAGCTGCGAGTGATGGCTGTTTTGGTGGCGGACGCGGTGTGGGGACTGTAATATGCCCGGTAGGGGCTGTTGGTGTAATTGAGGGGGCGGAGCTGAGGAGTGGTGGGAGTTGCAGTTGGCGCAACTGCTTGTGGGTGGGGTGGCCAATAGGATTGTGGGGCAACAATCAGGGTTGGGGAAGTCCAAGTGAAACTTGGGTCTGATGGGTAGGACGGTTGTAATGGGTGAGCTGTGGAGGGAATCTGAACAAGGTGGGTGTTGGGGATGAGAGGTGGCAAAGTTGTTGGGGTCAAAGGGGAAGCGTATTGAAGTTGTGGATGTGGTAGAACTGGTTGAACCGGCTGGATCTGAGGCACTGGGATCTGCATTGTAGGAACTGTGCCGTATGGAATCGAAGGTGCCACCAAAGAGGTCGGTTGTGACATAGGATCCATAAGGTGTCGGCGCACTTGGTGTAGGGGAAGGCTGAGAAATCCACTGGTAGTTCATGGCATCGCAGTAGAAGCCGTGAAAAAGGTGGACAATGAAATCGGTGCAAGCGTATAAATCTCATGTCGTGCCTAAAGTATCATGCTCAATCCCGCCTAGGATGACTGTACAAATGATTACTTAGACGCGTGTTTCAGTTGAAAGTATCTCAAGATTTTGATCACAGTAGGCCCTGCGGCATAAGATCAGTGGTATCGTGCTTCGCTGCCAATCAGAGACGATCAAACGAAGTTCAGGAAAGCAGAACCGAATATCAGGAAGATTCCCCCAGGATCTGGGTCTGTGCACATGCTGCGTCCCTTGACGGGGATCACACCACAGCCCTCAGTGGGACCCTGTGGCGAAACACACTTAGATGGTTGCTCGCAAGAGCTATTATCAGTACGAAGTTCCCCTTGACTGGAAGAAAAGTGCAAACCGAAGGGCGAGGAAGTCCGGAAAATTGAAGATGTTTAACAAATTGTTGTAGTGCATTAGCCGCTTACTGCAAATCACAGAATGAGACAGCTTGTCAACAGTTGAACCGATTAAATCGCTGCAGGTACACAGAGCTGATCAGGCTCTGCTTCCAGCACAAGTGGATAGCTTCGTTGGGTGCAGTCTCCACTGTGCTCTGCACACCCCTGCTGCTTGCAATTAAAAACTGCATTAAAACAGTGGCATGAAGTAGTCCTGCGATCCTTGTCAAAAAAGAGTTACGAGAACCTTGGAAACAGGTGTTGACACACACACACACACTTAGTCACAGGTTCATCCAGTATCAGAATCCACGGTGAAATGGATGAGGGAAACGCAAGGTGAAGCGGTCAGCGTAACTGATGTTTATATAACATGTTGTTCACTTGTCTGCAGAACGCGGCGGTGAGCAGCTGCTTTGCGGTGGAAAATCTGTTTGTGGGAAGTATCATGAGGAAAAACCATGGAACCAAAAAGACAGCAGCAGGGAGGACCAGTGGTGTCATTGTGTTTCCAGCAGGTACGCTGGGATGATCAGTCCCAGTATCACCAGGAAAGCGACGTCTTCGTGGGTGGCAGACTCTCGTTCCTGCTGCCACCCGCTGCGGAAATTGTGTTGAAACCCAAGAGCAGAACTCCTAGAGACGGAGGGGGTCACACACAAACTGCCGATTTTCGGCGCTCGAGGCAAGGTGGATCTTTTTGCCTTTCAAAAAGCGTCTGTGCTCTAATGTGCAGGTTGGTGAGGTGGTCTGCCGCGGCAGCAGCTGCGGTGGAGGGGTGTGTGAGGGGGAAAGGATGAAAGGGGAAACCAAATGGAGGGGCCGGAAACCAACGAAACCAGACCTCATTATATAGAGAAAACCTAGGTAAACCTAGACTCGTTTAAAACGTGAACGCTGTGTGTGCACCTAAGGTTCCAACAGGCCCCAATGAGCCTTGAGAGAACTTCGGCCGCTGCGGCCACGTTGTGGCTTGCCGGAAGGCTGCCTGCTCTAGTCCGCTGTGGACACGTTTTGGCCTGCCTGATGGCGGCCCGCTCGTTTTCATACAGTTCAGCAAATCCTAGCAAAACTATGGCGCAAGCCTGCTCCGCCCGCTATGGACACGTACGTTCCCGGGGAACCAAGACAAACCCCAAAACAACGGGGCCACAGGGGACACTCCTCGGGTAGACCCTGGGCTGGCATGAAGCCAGGCACACTCAAGATTTTGCGTATTGAAATGGAATGCAGCATGCCACACGCCCTGCTAGGTATGAACGCCTAAGAGTAGCAGGAGTAAGATAAAACCGATCCTGAAAGTTGTAAATGGAGTGGAGTCCAACCAAGATGGAAGTCACAGTTGCCAAGATTCCGCATGTTTCAAAGCGAGGGTTGAACGATCGACAAGGACGACGAGAGCGTGCGAAGTGTGCCGACCTACACCTCCACCTAAGCAGCCTGAAGGTTATATATATTGGGAAGTAACTACAACGCCACAACAAAGCAGGTACACAGGGCTTGCTTCCCACTCTCGCCCACAACTTCGTTATTGCGTGTGGTGGGACGAGAGTGCCACACGCCCCGGCTTACATCTGAAGTCAATGTGCACAAATCAATGGATTGCCTGTGTTTCAAGGGTTTCACATACACAGACACATACGCGGATGTAGATACAGACAAGTTTGCAAATCGGCGGTTTTTTCTTATGCCCACAACCACGCGAACATGCATGAACCAAGACGCTGTTCAGCTGCCAGCCGAGCAGAATGCAATGGAGCAACGGCCTGCAGAGCCAATAAAGATAACGGCCAGTTGTGGAGGTGACAGCAGGTGAGGATGGAAGATAACGAAAGCTGCTTCAATGGCTCTTTGGATTCCGCTTCCCTGTCTGAAGCAGACATCGCAGAGGCCTTTCATCAGTATGGGGGCGTGATCACGCGACAAAGCTTGCAAGATGGACGTCATGTCAAGTCCCACCGAGTTGAGACTGGAGAGCAGGCCTCAGACTCTAGCCCAAGGAGGCGGCGGTTCTATACAATGGTGACCGGCAGCGATGGCCAAGAGAAGGCTTTGGACTCTTTGTGGGTTGACAAGCTGCAGGAACTCTTAGATGAAGCCGCGCGGGCATATGGCACGAAGAACAATGAGTGGCAAGATGATGCCAGGATACAGGAGCAGCACGAACTCAAAATGGAGATCAGGAACAAGTTTACAAACTTCTTTCAGAATGGTAGTGAGAGCATTGATTCCGTGATGGCACAGCTCAACCAAGTGTGGAAAGGGATGAGCTCCCCAGAAAAGAGCGCAGGAGTTGATGTCCCGCAGGATTTAGGCGACTTGCAAGAATCATTGGCCTCAGTGGGGCAATTGCTGCAGGAGGCACGAGAGAAGGGGTGTGCTCAAGCAGACAAAGTGACGCGCCAGTGGTTTGCATTCATTTCGCAGGAGGTATTCAATGTCGAGAAATTTGGGAATGTGGAGGTCAAGGACTTGGACCATTTAAAGCATCGTTTGAACCTGCTGCACATGTATCATGATCTAGATGAGCGCTGGCATCGAATGGATGCACTCAATGCCGGATTGGAAGAAGCAGTGCAGAGCAAAGCGGCCCTGCAAAGTTCCGTGGATTCAGCAGAGCTGTTGCTGGTGAAACAGGTGAGAGATAGAAAAAAACATCCCGCTAAAAACTATATTTGTTGTGTGCCTCCCCTTGTTGAAAGCATGCCTCATTCACAGCATATGAATGCATATGAATACTGTAATGTTGGTAGCACGTTATATGATTTCTGTATATTATATATATATATTTGTTTGCATTGGCTGTTATGTTCCGGTTTCATTTGCACGGGCGGATGCAGTCACTGGTAGCCAGTAGGGGCTTGTTTGAAACAACATTGCCACGAGGCTGAAAACAGGTCAGGGCTGGTATGCTACAAGCAGGAAAAGGAATGGCGAGAAGTAGTTCTTTTTTTTTTTGTTCGGACTCCCTCCAGGTGGAAGCTGAAGTTCACAAAACCTTCCAAAAGGAGACCAAGAGCATGGTAATGCAAGCGGCCAAAGCACGAGCTGAGACAGTGGTACAGCTGGAGACTTGCACCCGGCACCGTGGATTGTTGCGGGCCGAGCTGACCAGAATTCTGATGGAGCTAGCAGATAAATTGAAACACTGGCACGTAAAGCTTTGCAAGAAGTATCAAGACTCCACCCACACCCTGAGGACCAGTAAAAGACGGACAGATGAACAAACCAGAGCTGTGGAAAAGAAGTTGAAGGATTTGAAGGAAAGGCTTGAACACACTCAGAATTCGGTCGCCATGCTTTTGAAACCCTACAACGCAGCTTTGGACCTTGGCCATGGCGCATTTGGCAAGCTTCCTTCTGGAGATGATTTGGTCTCTTGGATGTTTGCTCTTGTGGCTGATTGTGAGGAGCCGATGATTTCGCCCACCATCTCTGAAGCGGTTGGTCGTCTAATTTCGAGGAGCCCGCTTGAGAAGATGCAAGAGATGCTCCATGCTGGCCACCAGAAACAAAGATTGGACCAGCTGGACTTCCCAATCATACAGCAACAGTTACAGTGTAAATCTGCCACAGCAGCGACTGAATTGACGCCTTTCCTGCGAGGCGCTTGGAGGCAGCCATCCTTCCTGCTTAGTGGACCAGACATGCCCAGGCTGGTGGATATGCTCAAGGAGTTCCGAGAAGCGTTGGTGGACCGCACAAGCCATGTTTCTGTAAAGCTATTGTTGAAATCCGAGCCTTTCTTGAAGAGCCTTAGCGATTTCAAGAGCGAGCTTCGCGAGGATTCTGTAGCTGCAGAGGTTGCCTTGGTGCTGGCTTTGGTGCGATTTAGTGCTATTGTTCGTATTCAACGTGGCTGCAAGCTGATGGCTGCCATTCTGAACCTACGTAGTCTACAACTTCGAAAACATGCCTTGAATCAAGTTTTGGACGAGCCGCTCAAAGCAACTTCAAATGGCTTGGAGCAGCAGGCCAGGGCTGTTGAGGCGAGCTTCAGGACCATCAGAGGGGGTTTGGGTGTGTTGCGAGGTCAAGCCCAGTCCATGGCGAAGGATGCAGAATTGCTTTTGAAGCAGTATAGCCTAGAGATTGAAGATATCGTTCACACTGTGCAGAGATTGATGCCAAAGACTCATGCACAGGGCCAAAGAAAGGATGTGAGTTCCAAAGACCAAAGCTCCCCAGCACAACAGGATTCCGTGATGCATCTCCCATCGTTGCTAGCTCACAGCCGCACCAGCGACGATGTGGAAGGAGCAGATGCAGTGATTAGTGCTTTGAAGTACCAGCAACTTCTTTTGAAGCTGCACCTGACAACTCGGAAATGGCTTCGCTTGGCCACAACCCCCAACAGGCCAGAAGGTGAGCTTTTGGAGACAGAAACTGCTGTCAACGCGCTGCATAGGTATTTGACCAGACGTATGCCATCGCATTTAGCATCGAGCAAGTCTGACGAGGTTGATGCACCAGAGCAGGAAGGAGCCGAAGATGTCGAGGCTGATGGCACTGAAGGCGCAAGGAGCCCCATGGGCCACACTCGAGCACGAGCATCTTCAGTTCCTGGCTTGAATATCTCGTCAGAAGGCACGTTGACGTCGCAAACGCCATTATTGATTGCACATGCCAAGACCGAGTGGAGTTTGCCAAGCCGATGCCAGCTTGTCCGCAGCAATTCAGACATTCTGCATAACAGGCCCCTGCAGCAAAAGTTTGTCGAAGAGCTATCCTGGCGCTTTGATGAATACATGACTATGCGTTCTAAATCCATGAAATCATGGCAGTGGTCATCCAGGAGCTTGGGTGAACACAGTGAAAACCTCGGAGATGATTACGAGGAAAGCCTCGAGGAGGAAGAAGAAGAGTCACTTCAAGAAGACCCCGTAGAGGTCAAGGAAAAGCGTTCAAAGGCAACGTTCTTGAATTGGTCTAGATCTGGAAATGCACGAAAAGATGTGCGGGCCCAAAAAGTGATACGAGGTCGGGTCTTGGCCAAGGACGCTCATCGACAAAGGAGACATTCAGCTACACCAAACTCTGACGCTCCCAGATTCTACACAGATTTGATGGGACGTCAAGTGATCATATCGGCAGAGGCTCAGAATCAGAGTGGCAGGAGTGACAGTCTGAGTGAGACAAGCGAGCCTGATCCACTTCGAAAGGCTCCAGAAATGTTTGAGGAGGTCAAATTCACCAAACGTTTTGGTGAAGCAAGCAAGGCTCCATTGGCATTGATGATTGGCCAGAGTGGTCGCTCGCCTGTAAGTGTCTCAAAGACGCCAAAGGCGAGGGCAGCTCCAGATTCAAGGCCATCTTTGCCATCAAGTGCTCATCAAGAGCTTCTGCCAGAAGCATTTCAGCTACAAGGCATCGGTGTAGTGTCTAGCCCACGGCCTGAGAGAGGTAGTAGTCTTCGGCGACAATGCAACCAGAGAGCTTTGAAAGGCGCAGGGAGTGCAGGTGATCGTGATGATCGAGATCCAGACAGCGAAGGGAGTCGGAGTCAAAGTCGAAGCGGCTCTCAAGAGTCGGATCCAAGTTTTCTTATGGTGGATGATGATGAGGTGCCCCTGCCTGGAGCTGGGACGCCCGAACCGTCCTTCGAGGAGAACCATCGAAGTATTAGACTTCTGGGGGAAGAAATGCCAGATGGGTTGCGGCAGCTTCCACCCTCTCCAAACACGCAGGCAGGACGGAGTCCTTCTCCCGTTCCTGACAGCGAAGAAGTCAGCCCAAGGTCCGTGCAGACAAACAGGAGTTCGCTATGGCAATTGGATGACTTGGAATTGGGCAGGCAATCGTTGGGCCGACTTCTTGCAGAAAAGACTCCACAAAAGGGAAGAGCATTCCCCTCAGCAAGCGCGAACTATACATGTGATGGTCCACCAGGAACAGCGAGGCGCTTGCGACTCCACGAGAGGCCAGCTTCTTCCAGAACAAGGGTGCTCATGGCACAGCCTCAGATTGATGAGCCGTGCATTGAGCAACCACCTGAATGGGGATGTCCACTTCCACATGAGCCTGGGAGCTCATGGAAGCGATTGGGTGCTATCCCACAAGCAACTTCTGACATTCTCCAGAGAAACAGCCCTGAAGCCGCCACTAGGGTCACTAGGGTTTGCAAGACCAGTTCCGACTCCACACCTGTTGCGAGAGATGTTGAGACTGGCAAGTTGAGTTCTGAAGTGAATGCACAGGACCAGAGCTCAAACGCACAAGTTGTCCCACTGAGTTCAGTGTTGTTCGAAGGGCCTACAGTTCCACGTGCCACGATTCGAGGAAGACGGTGCTCAGGCCCAGCTCGCATGTGGTCGAGTAGCGGCAGCAAGGGGGACCTCCAGCCTTCCCGAGCAATGATGAGCCCTCAAACCAGTCAAGAAGACTCAGATGTTGAAACTTCGGGGAGGGGCGAGCTCGATCAGCTCGATGAAATGCTGCAGGAGCCAGACATCTCGGTGGAAAGAGAAGTCTTTGAAGAGGAGGTAGATGAAAGAGAAGACCGAGTTGGAGCAGTGGGGAGGGTTGTTCACGAAGGTCCAGAACGTAGGGGGTTACCTATGACTCGGCGTGGAGTTGCGCATTTGTTAACTCAGCATGAGGTGGTGGCACCTGACAACCTGGAATTGGTGGGTGAGTCTGCCGGGACAACCAGGACATTCTTTACAACGAAAAGACGGACTGCAGTGGAAGTAACAGTTCCGAACCTTCAAAAGGCACTGCCCTTGCTAAAGCCAAAGGGGCCACCTCAGAAGGAGCATTCCTTCACGGTCCAGCGCGAAGAGGAACCCAAGGAACACGGAGATCATGTGCCTCAGCCTTTAAATGTTCTGCTCCAAAATCTGCTGGATGTACCTAAGCACAGGCCGGTCAGTGCAGTCACGTTGGACAACGAGACCATGGAACGCCTCAATCTGGAAGAGTTCATGATTGAGCCAAGTCGAACTCCTACGGATGCTGAACTCCCTGCCATGGAAGCCGAGCTTGGTGTGTCCGATGCTCAAGGATCTGCGGAGAAACCACGGCGAGACAGCCATCTTGGCCAAGAGTTGATCGCGGCGTTGCAGACCAATGAGACCAATTGGCCTGTGGAAGCCGAGCTGGCCGAACAACAAGCTGAGGAGGCCGAGCCGAAGCAAAAGTCAGAGGAGACGCAGATCACAGGACGGCCACCAACTGCACCAAGCCGAGCACGCCCTCCAGCTTGGGAGGGCAAAGCCAGTTGGATGCCTTGCAGACTTTCCAGTTTGGTTGGCACAGCAGGGACAAGTGCTACTCAGAGCAATGCTGCAGAGGCGCTTCATCCATCTTGGCAGCTTCGACCAAGTTCTGCTAAAGGCCAACTCCCCTTGAGACGTAGACTTGCTCAACACCCGCAAGACGCGGGAATGTAGATTGCAGTGCCAAAGGTATTGCAAAAGCAACGGCATGTGCGATTGGAATTTGGCATCTTCCAGTATCTTGCAGACAGCTGCCCCCATTCAACAATCAGGTGTTGGTTAGCTGATGTTACATGTATAGTATAGTATGTTTTCTTTTTTGGGGCCTTTGAGGTAGATGATCCTGCTATGGAGGAGCAGCTCCACAGGCTGGAGAGAAGAACCAAAACCGCTTTTCTCATTTTTCCTTGCCTCTCCTTTGGCGCATGCCAGCGCGTTACTTGACCCAATTCAACCAAGAATAGAAAATGTATAGGATATCGGACACCTATGCTTGAGGCAGATAGCAGCATACAGGCACACAATGGGACACGGTGGCCATCTTCGCGAGGTTTTGGGATCGATACCCCATGGATGAGCGTGCCACAAAGCTCCTCCTTTCATGCGCTCCTGATATCCAAGCAAAGGCGCAGAACTCAGGTCAGACATTTTGTAGAATGCTTGCGAACCATTCTGAGCTGATAGGAGCCAATCAGAAAGTTAAGTACGCATGCCAGTATTGTTTCTCAGGTGATAGAGACCTTTGATCCCAGAAACAAGGAGGAGGCAGGACAATGCTTTGCGTCAAATGCCGGTCACTGCACCTCGTTTGTAAAAGGTGGACTATTCTCGACAAGTGAGGACCTCGGAACTTCAAAGACCACCATTGTCGGACCTTCAAATACCCGGGCGGGCTGTCCGTCCCAGGTGACCGGCTACATTCGGAGCCTTCAAACGCAAGCCTTGTCTCGGAAGCGCTTCCGAGAGGACGTCCCGCGACGAGCGCGGCTGAGCTCGGCTTTCGACTTGTTGCATCTTGGGGAACAACAGAACCGAAGTCGTGGGGATTCTTGTGAAAATTGAGTTCGGAGTCCGGAGAGCACCAAACGAAGTGAACGTGAGCTTGTGTGGGGAAGCATGGGGAACCCTTCCAGGAGGAGGCAGGTGAGGTGCTGGTGCGATCCCGAGTTGAAGCTTGTTTTGTGGCAGATCTCGAAACTCTGAAGCTTGAGATTCAGGTTGAGAAGCGCCTGCGAGGTGTGCGCATCTAAGATCCAGTTGGGTAGCAAAACTCAGACCTGCCCAGCATTGCCTGATGACCTGATTTGGAGCCGGGGGGCACGGTGTGCCAATGTGCCAAGGAGTTTGCCCCACCGACAGAGGATGAGATAGCAACTTTCTGCTGAGCTCTCAGCCTTGCAGACTCCCAGCTGCAGGTCACTGAAGTTTTGTTTGATTTGTTGGAAGGCGGCCGTTACCCCATAGACGAGCAAGATTCTCAGTACCCAGTGCCATGCTGTTCGTCCAATCATAAAGCATGAATGGTAGAGATACATGGAGATGTCTTGTTCAGTCGAGCCCTTGACTACCTCTCCACTTCGCCCTCGGCCGTACAGCACAAGGTGCTTTCACGTGTGCACACACACACACATGTCGCATGGTTTATATCTGTGTATATATATATATATAGTCTATGATATAGTTATATATATAATATGAGATACAATATGTGATAATATGGATGATGTTCTAGACGACCATGCCCATGACTTGCCCAATTTTTCTTTCCATGTCACAGTGACTGTTGGGCAAAGCGAGATAGAAAGGGCACTCCAAGAGTCCAAGACAAGTGTACATTGTGATGAGCATTCTGCAAGCAGGTGCTTGCAGAATTCCGCCCGCGCAACGAAAACGAACCGGACTACTCTTCTCTGGTGCCTCTGGCTTTTCTAGTGCTGCTTGTGTGCCAGTTTTCGCCTGACACGCACATCGTGCCGAAGTCAAGTGCAGGTGACTTCTTTGGTGAAGAAACTCCGGATGACCGAGAGGACCGAGACTGCACCGACACTGTCTGCGGTGCTTTTCGCTCAGTCCTTGTCGAACGCTGTTCCATGTGGGAAGCCATTCGGAACTGAGGTCAGGGCCGTCAGGGCCCAGCCTTGATGAAATGAAAGACTTTCGAGGCATTGCAAAACAACTACACAGCCGTCAAGTTATATATTGTTTGGACATCTGCCAGCTCCCAAATGCCGTCCACAAGATTTGCATGCCTCATGTGCCAGTTCACTTTCCGATGGATGATCGCGCCTGGGAGTTTTTGCTGAATGCTCCTGGCCACACGCAGGAGGTGCATTGGATCCTTCGATCCATTCTCTGCTCGATCGCCTCGCGAGTTGCACTCTCCGTGCAGGTTGTCATTAAGGACTTCAAGCCCAGACGGTTTGATGACGGCGACTACTCCGCGGCAGCCAGGGGCCTCAGTGTGATTGGTGGTGCGATTGGTGCTTCCAATCGCTGTGGTCGACGACATTTGCTGCATATGTTGCTTGCCGCCTACGCATTGATGGAAGAAGAGAAACTGATAGATTGGTTGAAAAGGAGCAAACGGATCTAGGTCCAGAGGGGAACACTCAACCAAATTGAGCCAAACAGATTGTGCATATCACACCTTCTATGCGCTGGCCTCATGGCATTTGGGACGGCGGCCTGTCGAGCTCGGCATCTCTGTACCAATGGCAGCTATGTTGTGGCATTAGCTGCTGCCAATGGCAGCGGTCGTGACAAGCTGGCTGCAGCAGTGCGACTCAAGAAGGCAGTCCGGCTGAGGGATTTATTCGGACGATGGTTCTGAAAGCGAAAGAAGGAAGCAAGGTCTGAAGAAAGAAAGAATACTCAGAGAAAAAGACATGTTTCACTGGTTGAGTTCTTGGATGTTTAATCCACAATTGTGCACACGCTGAAGCATATGTTGGATTCTTCCGGTTGTCAGTAAACCAAAGCAAAGGCCTCTCTCGAACTGAGACCACTTGTTTAAGAGACGTGTATGAGAGTATTGTCGGCTGACAGGGAGGTGCCCGCCAATTCTTTGGGTTCCCTCCAGGGTTTTGGCCTTTGGGCTCGGAGTTGATTGGGCACGAAGAAATAGTTTGACCGCCTGGCCATTATAGCAAACCCACGCATAGTTTCTATCAATCCGTGAAATGATTCCTTCACTGCAACGATCTGCTTTCCACCCGCTTGCAATGTCCCTCACGAACACCGCTGCAACGGCAACAAAAGGTACTATGTACTGTGACCTGTGGTTTTTGCATTGGCTGATTTAGACGCACCCGAAGCTCCCAAAGTACGTGTCCCGAGCAAACCTCACATTGCACCTTTGCAGGGAAATACATATTTGGGGAAGAGTGCAGGTGTTCTTGTAACTTTTGTGGCCACGTCAAGCGGCAAACCTAAGGAAGGGCCCAGTATAATATATATATATATATCTATGTCGGGCGTTCTTACCATCTGAATCGGACCTACTAAGAGACATTCGGAAAACTAATGACAGATTGGGCTTTGCATTGTTGGGGACAGGTCAATTTTTGCGGATTTCAGAGCTGCTAAACGTATACAATGCGATGTGCTGCAACATGTATGACATGCTTTGCAAAGGCAGACTTTCAACATGGTGTTATTCATGTAAGCAAACTGTCATCAGCCTAGCTGTCCTATCCCTGAGGGATTTGGCAACGTTGAAGTGCTGACTGCTGACCTACGTGCCCTACAGCGGTTGGAGGGTGTAGTCGCCACTGATTTGGCTTCACAGCGTGAAGAAGACATGTTTGTTTCTTTAATGTTTGCTTTGGTCCTTGAGACTGGCTGAGTCCTGGTTATGCTAAAAAGGGCAATGGCAATGGTGTCAGTGGGTAATTCTTCTTGGTGTCAAAGCAACCCCGCTGCAACCAGTAGTTCTACACTACACAGAGAGAGGGGAAAGGACAACTTCCCTATCTTCCCAATGCCCTCGATCAGCCTCACTCATTATTCAAACTGCAAGGTGCAAACAGAATTGACAGGAAGGTGCAGACAAGCACTGTAAAAGCAGAAGGCCTTCTTCAGAGATTGAACAGCTTCTTGAGGCCTTCTGGGAGGACACTGTCGTGTTCAGCTCGTCAGATGGATCAGTAAAGCTGTGGGACCTGCGTACAAAAGCCCCGCAACGCAGCCTCATGTGTCTCTTCTGAATCTTGCGAGAGATAGGGTTGTCCATGAACTATCATGAAATAAAATGTTACTGCAATGTCAAAAAGTGAACACACGCAGCCGACTGCATGGTAGACGAGCCAACTTTCTGCAGCTGAGGGATGTTTCCAATGATCCGGCTTTATCTGTGACTCTCACCAATGGCGTTTGTGCCTGTGCCAGAGGAACATCAATACTTATGGCCGATGTGTGCCTCGCCAAGCCTGTGACAGTAGCCATGCTTATGCTATTGGAATTGGTGATCCAACACTCAAAAGACACACACACTCAGACTCGGCATATCCCAGGTCTTCTGGCCAGATCATGGCTGACTTTGCAGATGTTCACTCAGAGAGAGTGGCTTGATGGCGACCCATTTCAGTTTTCAAGTCACTTTTGCACCGATTTCATTAAGCAATCCTTCAATGTTTGGGCAAGTGACATATCGTTCTGATGCGACACTGACTCAGGTGTCCTGTGTTCGCTTTCGTCCCGGTGTTGCCTCATCCGACTTGGTGAGCGCAGGGGACGATGGCCTGCTTTGTGTGCTGGATACCCAGCGACACCCGGGTGAAGACGAGGCCCTCCGCATTGCTATGAACAGTGAAGAATCAGTGGAACGGCTGGCCTTTGCGGCCGATGGTCAGATGTGCCTGGGATGCTGTGGATGTGGGGCACAAAACGAGATGACTTGAAGGGGTCATCCTTGCACCCAACCAAGGCTATGCAGCATCTCCACCACTGATGTTATGCACCTTTGGAGCCTATCGGAACCAAAGGAGGGCATTCTTTGTGCCCGGCTCGACCCCATGCGCAACGACCAGCACCTGCAGGTGGGCGGAACGCACTTTAGGTGCAATCTCGAGAGTGGAAGGCCCTTTTTCTGTTGCGTGCAAAGTGTTGCTTGAGGTGGGCGAGTCTGATGGCCTCCTGGAGAGTATGACAAGAGGAGGTTCTTCTTTTTGGCAATCGGTGCTGCTGTTT